TACCATTGTAGTCTGCAAAAACTGCTTGCCACTGGTGAAGTTTATGGTTTTAAAGTGCCAGCCGTTTTATCTACAGAGGGAATAAACAGCCATACTGCTTTTTTCTGTTTACATCCCTCCCAGCTCCAATGCCAACAACATGACTGAGGCACTGAAAGACCTGTACCTGCACATCAGTGAGCAGCCTACAGCCCACCCAGATGCTTTTCTCATCCTGGCTGGGGACTTTAACCATGCAGACCTAAAAAGTGTGTTTCCAAAAATACACCAACACACAGACTTTCCAACACGGGCAATAACACACTGGTCTTTGTTTACACCACACAGAGAGGAGCTTCCAGCTTGTGATGCAGCATATTAAGTCTGTCCTGCCCCCTCCTTGGACCCCTTTCAGTTTACATATCGGTCCTACCACTCGACTGATGACGCCATCTCCACTGCACTTCACTCAGCGCTCACACATCTGGACAAAACAGACTCCTACATCCGAATGCTGTTCATAGACTTCAGTTCAGCAATTAACACTATCATCCCCCAACAGCTCACTCAAAAACTGGTCCAGCTGTCAGAGTAACACCTCTCTGTGTAACTAGCTGCTGGATTTTCTCAGCGGAAGACCACAAGCAGTACTGGCCGACAGTAACACATCCAGCACCATCACTCTAAACACTGGGGCCTCTCAGGGATGCTGAGCCCTATCCTCTTCACTTTTCTGATTCATGACTGTGCACCATCTCACAACTCCAATCTTTTCATGATGTTTGCGGATGACACAACTGTGGTAGGTCTCATCAACAAAAACGATTAGAAAAACTACAGAAGCAAGGTGAGCCATCTGGCCGAGTGGTGCAGAGACAACAATCTCTTCTTAAATGTGGAAAAGACAAAGGAGATAGTTATTGACTTCAAGAAAGTGCACACTCTGCATGCTTCAATGACCATTAACAGTGCGTCTGTGGAGCATGTGAGCAGCACTAAGTTCCTGGGTGTACAAATCACTGAGGATCTCTCCTGGACAAAAAATCACAGCTACTTCCTCCACAAACTTAAAAGAGCAAGAGCACCAGCCTCAATCATGCAGACCTTCTACAGAGGCACAATTGAGAGCATCCTGACCAGCTGCATCACTGTGTGGTTTGGAGCCTGCAATGCATCCTGCAGGAAAACTCTTCAGCGCATAGTGAGAACAGCTGAGAAGATCATTGGTGTCCCTCTACCCTTCCTCCAGGACATTTACAGCACCCGTCTCACCCGAAAAGCCCTCTGCATAAAAGCAGACCTCACTTACCCAATGCATAGCTTCTTCAGTCTGCTGCCATCAGGGTGGAGAATGCGAAGTCTCCAGGCCAGGACCAACAGACTGCAAGACAGCTTCATCCATCAGGCTGTCAGGAAGCTGAACCCTCTCCCAACTCTGCCACCACTCCCCTCTCCCTCCACATGCATTTTTGGACTCTGACACACATGAAAACAAACACACATGCACACATTCATCTGCACTGGTCACTTTATGTAACATTGGTCTACCAGTTAGACACATCATACTACATTCACATATATTATGAAACTGTCACTTTATCATAATCATCATGTGCACGAGCCTTTTTGCACTATATACTGTTCTTTATCTGCACAACTCTGGTTTATAATTTTTTATTGTATGTATATTTTTAGACTACACATTAAATATATTTTTAGACCACATTTTATGTACAACTGTATATTTTGTAAATTTAGATTAAACCATCGCAAGCGGGCTTGCACTGATTAAACTAATATCGCTGCTCATGAAAAGACCGGTATTGCTATTAACATGACGTATGCATATAATAAGGTACAGTATATGTCAAAATCAGTGCAGTATCAGACAGCACCCGTGAGAACCGTCTAAAAATCAACAATGCCACTAATCCTCGCCTACTTTTTAAAACATTTTCCTCCCTCCTCTATCCTCCTCCTCCACCCGCATCCTCCACACTTACTACTGATGACTTTGCTACATTCTTCTGCACCAAAACTGCAAAAATCAGTGCTCAATTTGCTGCACCTACAACAAACACGCAAGATACAACACCAACACCACACACACTCACCTCTTTTTCTCAGCTCTCTGAGTCTGAGGTGTCCAAACTTGTGCTATCTAGCCATGCAACCACTTGTCCACTCGATCCCATTCCCTCTCATCTCTTGCAAGCCATCTCTCCTGCAGTCATACCAACACTGACTCACATAATTAACACATCTCTTGACTCTGGTTTATTCCCCACTACATTTAAGCAGGCTAGGGTAACCCCACTGCTAAAGAAACCCAACCTGGACCATACGCTACTTGAAAACTACAGACCAGTATCCCTGCTTCCATTCATGGCCAAGATTCTGGAGAAAGTAGTGTTCAATCAAGTCCTGGACTTTCTTACTCAAAACAATCTCATGGACAACAAGCAATCCGGCTTTAAGAAAGGCCACTCAACTGAGACTGCCCTGCTCTCGGTCGTGGAGGATCTCAGACTGGCTAAAGCAGACTCTAAATCATCAGTCCTCATTTTGCTGGACTTGTCAGCTGCTTTTGACACTGTCAACCACCAGATCCTGCTATCTACGCTTGAGTCACTGGGCGTTGCGGGCACTGTTATACAATGGTTTAGATCTTACCTCTCTGACAGGTCATTCAGGGTGTCTTGGAGGGGAGAGGTGTCCAACCTACAGCATCTAAACACTGGGGTACCTCAAGGCTCTGTTCTTGGGCCACTTCTCTTCTCCATCTACACATCATCTCTAGGACCAGTCATCCAGAGACATGGATTCTCCTACCACTGCTATGCTGATGACACCCAGCTATACCTCTCTTTTCATCCTGATGATCCCTCGGTTCCAGCTCGTATCTCAGCCTGCCTGTTGGATATTTCACACTGGATGAAAGATCATCATCTTCAGCTGAACCTCGCAAAAACGGAAATGCTTGTAGTTTCTGCCAACCCGACTCTACACCATAACTTTTCAATCCAGATGGATGGGGCAACCATTACTACATCCAAAATGGTGAAAAGCCTTGGAGTAACGATTGATGACCAACTAAACTTCTCTGACCACATTTCTAGAACTGCTCGATCGTGCAGATTTGCACTCTATAACATCAGAAAGATCCGACCCTTCTTATCTGAACATGCAGCTCAACTCCTTGTTCAAGCTCTTGTTCTCTCCAAACTGGATTACTGCAACTCTCTACTAGCTGGGCTTCCAGCTAACTCTATCAAGCCTCTTCAACTGCTCCAGAATGCAGCAGCACGAGTTGTCTTCAATGAACCTAAACGAGCACATGTCACTCCGCTGCTAGTCCGTTTGCACTGGCTGCCAGTTGCTGCTCGCATCAAATTCAAAACTCTGATGTTTGCCTACAAAGTGACTTCTGGCCTAGCACCTTCTTATCTGCACTCACTTCTGCAGATCTATGTGCCCTCCAGAAACTTGCGTTCTGTGAATGAACGTCGCCTCGTGGTTCCATCCCAAAGAGGGAAAAAATCACTTTCGCGAACGCTCACGCTCAATCTGCCCAGTTGGTGGAATGAACTCCCTAACTGCATCAGAACAGCAGAGTCACTCGCTATTTTCAAGAAACGACTAAAAACTCAACTATTTAGTCTCCACTTCACTTCCTAAGCTGCAATTGCCTCTTTGAATATCACACTAATTGTACAAAAAAAAAAAAAAAAAAAAAAAAAAAAAAAAAAAAAACTACTAACACTTCCCTTCTTAGACTTTACAGACCTGAAACTTGCCTTTAGTACTTATTCATTGTTGCTCTTAGTTGTGTAAATTGCTTCCTTGTCCTCATTTGTAAGTCGCTTTGGATAAAAGCGTCTGCTAAATGACTAAATGTAAATGTAAATGTAGAACAGCACAGCAAGCGTTAACAGATTCAGTTGTGTCAAGCAGTGCGTAAAGGGCTGGTGAGTGGTCTGAGTATCTTTTGGTCCCTCATTTATGGTATTTTTTTGTGATAATGGGATTTCGTTGAGACATATTTTCCTCATGCATGCATATATTTTTTTGCTTGTTAGTTTGATTCGTATTGATTTCAAATGCAATAAATTTGTTTGTATAAAACTTGTGGTAACGGTGCTTATAATTGGTGGGTGCGACAAAATTTTGGTTGATGCGCCTACATTTTTTAAATTAGGAGCACTGGTGCTACCAAGCAAAAAGGTTAATTTTGAGCCCTGGTCTACTTTACAAATTTTAGAAAAACATTTTGTTTTAATTATGAATAAATACAAATAAAAACAGGTCATTTACAGCTTTCAAATCTGTCTTATCAATATGAACAAAATTACTTTTATGATCAATTATGTAAGAAACTCTGAAAACTGGACTGACAGATTCAATTTACTATAACTTCTATGTTAAGCGGCGTTGACACATTTTACATTGTAAAAGCACTAAATAAACATTAATTGAATTAAATCTGTTTAAATGTGTACACATTAATGGACAGAACAAAATATGACCTGATAAATTTTACATTTAATGTGCATCAAAATTACAGTGTGTGTAGCCAATGTTTCCAGTGTCTTTTCAATTTTCAGCTTTTGATGAAGATTTTCATGCAGAGTTTTATAGACTTAATGAAAACGAATGTTTTTTTTTTTTATTTTTTATATTTTTCAGACCTAATTGAACAGAATGAGGGGAGTAAAGAGGAGGAACATCATGTCAAAAGTGAGGAAAAAACTAATTTACAGACTGATGGTATTTTGAAAAGGAGAGACAAGAATTGTTTCACCTGCACTGAGTGTGGAAAGAGTTTGGCAAAAAAAAGCAAACTTAAGATTCACATGAGGATCCACACTGGAGAGAAACCATTCACATGCACTCAGTGTGGGAAGAGTTTCAGCCAATCATCACACCTTAAACATCACATGAGAATCCACACTGGAGAGAAACCATTCACATGCACTCAGTGTGGTAAGAGTTTCAGCCTATCATCAAACCGTAATAAACACATGAGGATCCACACTGGAGAGAAACCATTCACGTGCGCTCAGTGTGGGAAGAGTTTCAGCCAATCGTCACACCTTAATCTACACATGATGATACACACTGGAGAGAAACCATTCACATGCACTCAGTGTGGGAAGAGTTTCAGCCTATTATCATCCCTTAATCTACACATGATGATCCACACTGGAGAGAAACCATTCACATGCACTCAGTGTGGTAAGAGTTTCAGCCTATCATCAAACCATAATAAACACATGAAGATCCACACTGGAGAGAAACCATTCACATGCGCTCAGTGTGGGAAGAGTTTCAGCCAATCATCACACCTTAATCTACACATGATGATCCACACTGGAGAGAAACCATTCACATGCACTCAGTGTGGGAAGAGTTTCAGCCAATCATCACACCTTAATCTACACATGATGAACCACACTGGAGAGAAACCATTCACATGCACTCAGTGTGGGAAGAGTTTCAGCCAATCATCGAACCTTAATCTACACATGAGGATCCACACTGGAGAGAAACCATTCACATGCACTCAGTGTGGGAAGAGTTTCAGCCTATTATCATCCCTTAATATACACATGATGATCCACACTGGAGAGAAACCATTCACATGCACTCAGTGTGGGAAGAGTTTCAGCCAATCATCACACCTTATTAAACACATGAGGATCCACACTGGAGAGAAACCATTCATGTGCACTCAGTGTGGGAAGAGTTTCAGCCAATCATCACACCTTATTAAACACATGAGGATCCACACTGGAGAGAAACCATTCATGTGCATTCAGTGTGGGAAGAGTTTCAGCCAGTCATCATCCTGTAATCTACACTTGAGGATCCACACTGGAGAGAAATCAAACAACAGAATTTCGCATGCTTAAACTCTAGTATGACCGCAGCTTCGGTGTGGGATGAGTTTCAGCAACTCCTCAGACCTTAATAAACACATGAAGACTCACACTGGAGAGAAACCATTTACATGCACTCAGTGTGAAAAGAGTTTCAACCGATCAGCAAACCTTAATGAACACATGAAGATCCACACTGGTGTGAAAGAGTATATGTGCTTGAGTGTGAGAAGACTTTTCTTAGAGCTCCAAATTTGAAACTGCACCAGACGATTCACACTGTTACAAGAAGTGTTATTGGTTAACACATCTGAAAACAGAAGAGGATTCACACTGGAGAGAAACCGTACAGATCTGATCAGTGTCCACAGAGTTTCGCTCAATCGCCGCAGCTTAAGAAACACATGGACAAGAAGTTGCACACATGATATGAATGCAGCACAACATTTTTCATATGCACAAGATTTTTCATGTCTGAATAATGTTTAAAAAGGCTGAGGGACGGTATACTCTTTTCTAACACTCCTACACTGGGGTTGTTGGTGGGGTTGTAAATGTGTCACGTTTCTCCCACTCTCCAGTGTATTCATGTAGCTAGTGTTGTTTTGGATGATGTTCTCTGTCTGACTCCCTGAATGAGAAACAAATCACTGGGAAGACGCCGCACATCAAATAAGGTGGAGCTCCAGGACGGTTAGTTTGCAGTATAGCAGGGCATCAAGTTTAGAAAGCCCATTCAATTGTCCTGTGTTGCATCTTTTATTAGTAAAGGATCTTTATTTGTAAGTTCTAGTTTACTACGGTAGGGATGGTATAAAGTTTAACCCAAAGAATGACCAGTCTGTCAGATGAAGAAGAGCCGGAGTCAAAGATTAAAATAAATAAATGAAGTTTACTGAAGATAGTTTGCAGTTTCATCAGCAGAAGCCAGCTCAACATTTGCAATGAGTTCCTAGGCCGCTCTGACTTACAGTACAACAATGCAGTAATTATACTCTACACAAGTCCAGAAAAGGTGGGATCCAGGTAAACAGTTCTCATTGGTTACAGCAAAAATAGACAATTCTAAATGCTTGTGTCAATGAAGTATTGTATCTAGCTCCAGATATGTATGGCCTTAATGCGTGCGTTAAGAAAGAATTGTATCTAACTCCAGATATGGATAGCGACATGGTTCCTGGGGGTTAGGTCCACCCTAAGTTATTAAGAGCTGATCTCCGACCTGTGAAAAGCTAAATCAGGGTCACAATAGACACAAGAGACCATCTGTGTTAAAATCTCAAGGATGGACCTTGTACGGTGAGGCAGTGGCGCAGCAGGTAGTGCTGTCGTCTCACAGCAAGAAGGTCGCTGGTTAGAACCTCGGCTCAGTTGGTGTTTCTGTGTGGAGTTTGCATGTTCTCCCTGCCTTTGCGTGGGTTTCCTCTGGGTGTTCTGGTTTCTCCCACAGTCCAAAGACATGTGGTTACAGGTAGGCTAAATTGACTATAGTGTATGAGTGTGGGTGTGAATGTGAGTGTGGATGTTTCCCACAGATGGGTTGCGGCTGGAAGGGCATCCGCTGCGTAAAAACTTGCTGGATAAGTTGGCGGTTAATTCCACTGAGGCAAGGGACTAAGCCGACAAGTAAATGAATTAATGTTTCTTGTACGTTCAGCTGTGTTATGAAACTGGTTCCATCAACAGTCTGCTACAATATCCTTACTACACACAGTGTCTATCTCCATACAAAAGGAATTACTTTAATAAGACTTACAATCAAAACAGATTAATCAAACAGATATTGTAGACAATATCAGGACAACTAGAACAGGTGTTTTTTTTTCTCCTCTGCATCGATACTTTGTTCAGAGGGACAGAGAGAGAGAGAGAGAGATCTCCATGGCCTATGACCTGTTTTTTGTGTCTCCTGAATACAAAATTAAAATAGACAGGGAAACAAGGACACTGAACATTCTTACATTCAGTGTGAACGTATGTAATATATATATATATTAGTTAAAATCAATTCAAAGTTCTATAATTAATAATTAAATTGAATAAAATTAATTAAATAATTATATTTAATAAAAAGTGATGAGAAACAGGATGTTGAGAAAAAGGATTAACGTTGATTTGTTGAGATGAATTTGAAGGTAGAACTCCAACTCCTTCAGTCCCCTGTTTTTGACCGAAGCGAATTAATCCGCTCCAGGTCAACCAGTGAGGTCACTAAAGAAAGTGGAAGTAATGACTCGTGCTCCCTACTTAGGTTACAGAGTTTCTTTGACCTTTCTTGGACATGCTGGAACCTAAAAATTCCAGTCCCCAAGCTAAGGGCTCTTCCACCTTCTACTCACAATGGGCTTCATCCTTGTATTCATCAAGCTATTCGGTTTTGAAGACAGTTCGTCAGTATCAGTAGACGTTTCTCATCCTCAGTAGTATTGACGGTCCTGCAAGCAGAAGTGGAAATATACGAAAAAACTAAACAGCGGACCAAAGTCCAGAATATGAACACAAATGCGCAAGCCCTAATAGTCATCCAGAAGTAAACAACACATACTTTCATCGATACATCCTCTGATGCATTTACAACTTACTCCAAATCTAAATCCTAACATCCAGGGTAATTCTAAGACTCAAGATTTCCTCTGATCAGACACAAAAGGTCATCCACTCAACCTAAGCCACACAGGATTCAAATTGAATATTCCCACATGAAATTATCTATGTTGACGAGGCTGGCTTCAACTTGGTGAAATTGCGTCTTAGGAGAAACATAATAGGCCAAAGGGCCACCATTACCAGGCCGAGCCAGAGAAGAATAAGTCAGGCAAATGCAGAAGACAAGGCAGAATTGAAAATTACTTAGTTTTTTTTAATGTAATTGCGGTGCTTTTTCTGTTTGTATATCTTGCAGTAATATTCTTTTGCATATAAAGTCTGTACTGCAGCAATTCTGTGTCTGTATTTTTTTTTTTTTTTACATACAGTAAACTGTAAATTTTTTTAAAGCTACTCTGGGATGGTCGTTAATTTTTTGTATTGAATTTCTGCAGCATAAGAAACAAAATGCATGAATTTACTGTACTAAACCCATAACACAAACATTTAGAGAGGCTTCAAATATAAGGGCAGAGCTGAATAGCTAAAATAGTGCTGTTTCTGTAATGTCAGCTGATGATCGTGTTTTTATTTTCAATGTGTTCTGATTGACTAAATGTTTCTGTTGCAAGAGAACATTCGAGGTTACTAAAGTAACCCTTCGTTCCCCGAGGAGGGGAACGGAAGCACTATAAGTGGATTTGATGTTCTAAATCCACGTATGGGAGGATTCGGTTCAGAAGCTGCTCGACTGAAAGAGTAATGAACGGGTCAATGAAAGCAATGAATTGGCAGCGCAAGCTTACGCAGGTGTGCTGCATCGCCAATTAACTGAGCATATAAGCACACCTAGCGCCAGCAAACGCTATCCTTTTTAAGCTGAAGAGACTTTTAACAGCTAAGGGACAGTCATTATGGCGACGGAGTATAGTGCTTCCGTTCCCCTTCTCGGGGAACGAAGGGTTACTTTAGTAACCTCGAACGTTCCCCTTCGGGGGGAACTTCGCAGTATAAGTGGATTTGATGTTCTAAATCCACGTATGGGAGCCCATTGAAAGCGCCATAATGCCATAATTGCATCTTACCAAAACCCACCATGAGAGGGCAGTCAGGCAAGCGTGACGCACCCAAATCATGGGAGGCGCTGTCCTCCAACGTGCCCTTGGCCCTAACTTATCCCCACTTCAAAAGAAGCTTTACGGAATAGGTATATTTTTTTGGGAGTCGCTAGCGTCTAGATAATTTCTAGGAATATACGAGAGTATGTTGGGAAGCATGCCATCCCAGTAGGGAGGACGCTGCGGAGACCATCCGCACCCAATAGGGAGACAAATGGAGTTACATATGGACTAACCCTGAGAAGGGGGAGTGCACATAAGAAGGTGGTTAGCGGATAGGGAAGGCACAGGTCCACCCAAGGGGGGAAACTTAACCGTGGCGGAAAAGCATATGGGGATTACCAGCGGGGATCGGCCATAGCAGGCACCTGTACCCAAAAACGCGGGCTGACCAGCGGGCAGACCTAACGTAGTGTGCCAGCGAGTGACTCCTCCGCTAAGTCAGTGCTGGGGGCCTCGGAGGAATCTGCAGGGCTCACCGAATGGGGAACTTTACTGACAGACAGGAGGGTGCACATCTCTTCGTGTTAGGGAAAAAAGGCACCGCAAGCGTGCTACAACACCCACCGAGTTGTTTCCTCAATCACCAAAGGTCCCTAACACCCTTGAGGTAACCACGCGAAAATGCCTCCAGGTCCCCGACCCTCTTAATGGAGGCCTTCAGGTCTTCAGGTACAGAAATCTTAAGGATACTGAGTCGAGCTGCTCGAAGGGATCAAATCGCAAGCTCGTGAGAACGAGGGCGAGATCCCAAGAGGGCGTGAGAGGGGGGGCGAGTTGGATTAATTCGCCTAACGCCTCTGAGGAACCGGATGATGAGGTTATGCTTTCCCACGGTGCCGCCAGCCACCGCATCATGGTGAGCGGAGATGGCGGTTACGTAAACCTTGAGAGTGGAGGGCGACAGCCTGCTATCCAGCTTCTCTTGAAGGAAAGAGAGCACAACACTGATCTGGCAAGATCGGGGGTCTTCTCTGCGAGAGACACACCATTCAGTGAATAGACTCCACTTCAGGGCGTAGGCGCGCCTCGTGGAGGGGGCTCTAGCCTGAGTGATGGTAACGACCACCGCGGGCGGCAGGTTACCTAAGTCTTCCTCGCGTCTATGGACCACACATGGAGGTTCCAGAGATCGGGGCGAGGGTGCCAGACGGTGCCTTGTCCCTGAGAAAGTAGGTCCTCTCTCAAAGGGATCTGCCATGGGAGGGTCGTCGCGAGGAGGGAGAGCTCTGATATCCAGGTCCGGTTGGGCCAGAGGGGCGCAACTAACAGAACCTGTTCCTCGTCCTCTCTGACCTTGCACAGTAACTGCACGATCAGGCTCACTGGGGGAAACGCATACTTGCGTATGCCCCGAGGCCAGCTGTGGGCCAGTGCATCCGTGCCGAGAGAGCCC